CATACATATACACATGCAGCCATAAAAATTATGAAAATGAAAATCGTCAACATGATAAACTACTGTCGTAAAAGCCAACACTTGGCTGAGACCCGCTCGATGCGTGTCTTCAATATTATAATTTGCGACAGTGTGCATTGCTGGATCTATATTCGTTTTTTGATTTTGGAAACATTGAAGAGAAATTATTATTAGTAAATCAGAAGTAAATCTGTACGAAGTTACTCATACATATGTACATTTGTTCTTGTGCGAAGATTCTCAATCAGTTTATTACTACATCGCAGGTTGTGAGATACCGGTTCAGCTTCGATTAGGGTTGTACAGAAATTTGTATTTACAGTGATGAGTGTACAGAGAAAATCTCGAATGTGTGTTAGGCAGGAAAAGAAAGGGAAAACACGGATATCCTATCCACACCCATTGACCCATAGTGACACAAATGACTTGTAAAGACGTAGGCAAGTGTAAGGCGGTCAGTTCGGAATCAGGCAAGGCAGTGATTATTGTACAGTGAATAGACAAGTTCAATATGAAGGTAGACAGCAGAGTGTTTGTATTTAGGCAATATGGAAACGGCTAACAGCTAGCATAACACCAACTCCTAGAAGAATCATCACCAACTGCTTGATGTTCTGCCTAAAAAATGCCTTTCAAAAAACCCTAAGGTAGGCATGGGACTTCCCAATAATCCAAAAAACTGACCGTCGGTCTTTTTCCCTATTCAGTTCAGGTAAAATCTGTGCCAATGCGATGTTGATGAAACCTCCAGCCGTGAATGGAAGAATCCATTCAGGCGATTGTACACTTCCCGAACGTAAATACAATGCTACAGAAGCTCCGATTACACCTCCGGATGCGGTAAAAAACTGAAAATGATCAAGGTAGGAATTCTTCATAAGTATGAGCATACATTAAGCATTACCTGTGCTTTAACAGCGTCAAGTTTATCAAAGTCTGCCCTGAGAAGGATGGCAAAATCGCTGATTTCATGCGGTATTTCATGAACTAAGATCGCGAACGTTGTCATCATCCCGAACTGCAAGAGGTTACTAATGCCACAGTTCTTTTTTATAAAATAGCTTGTGAGTCACGGCTTAGGCAACAACAAAGTTTTTCTCGAGTTTCATGTTTTAGTCCGTGAATGAGAATATGTGACCGTACTGTTACAGCACTTGTTGGTAAAACGGCCCAAAACCTATAATAAGACTAATCCTGGCCAAACGGAAGTTTCTCTCGGGAATTCAAAGTTCAAAAAAAATTTTTCTCTAGCCCGTGCAAACAAAATCACGCGCTCAACACCTTTTTCAAGAACTACACATTTCTCAAAAATTATTGTGAAACACCGAGACGGTTTGCACTTTTCCGGCTCAAAAAGAGTAAGTTCTCTTCTAAACATCCATTATTCTCACATGCGAAGTTCCACTTCAAGAACGAGTTAGTAATGAGATCTATTGTTTTGATCAATGCATGGTTGTCATCGTTGCTTTGAGTGGATGAAGACATTGATACAAAGCGATTGCAAGCTGGAGATTTTCTGTCAGATGAGATGCTTTTAGAGAAGTGTGGATTAGCAGATTTAAAACATTACGTACATAAGTATTTTACTGTAGGATCAAAATGGCCAGAAGCCAGAACTTTGTTCAGTGCTTGTTTATTGCAATCAAACATTCAAAGATCAGCTTTTTATGAGAGATAATCCGCTTAGAAATTTAAAAATTATGGCGGGAAATTTCAATTGCTCCAATATATTTCAAAAATCATTTTTTAACACAGTTTTCAACTTTGCACCCTTTCCTCCTAGTTCCTCTAAAAAAAATTCGTACTAATTTCGATCAGTATGGCTGAGAAATGCTTCAGAATAAAGTTATGAACTAAATGTTGCCGCTTTTGCATAGACTCATTTCAGTTCTACAGTTTTGTTCTTCCCTAATCTTCCAAAAAGGAAATTTACCTGTGGTGATATCAAAAAACTTGCTCCAACTGCCAAACCATGCGTGAAGTTATCCACCAAGTTAGCGCAGAGGTTCATAATTGCACAAATCTAAAATTCATTGTTAAAACACTTATAAACTTTCTTTTTCTTCTGTCTCACCTTGTGCTGGCTTTGTTCAGTCGTACTGCAGAGTTTTTCAATGAACGAACAGATCAGGAGGCCACCCAATGAGCAAAATCCGATACGATCAACGTCAACTGGAATGACGATACGTAATTTGTGAATGAAAAGTGTATTCCACATTTACAAACCTTCCAAATCGCTCCAAGTTTCCGGCAAAAGATGCAAAAATACATCACCGAGAAGGCTGCCAACAGCAAACGATAGCAACAGATTCAGATTACATCGTCCCTCTGGAGAAGGGAGATTTAACTCTTTTAAAACTCAAGTTTACAAATTATTAACTCGCCTTTAGTCTGTAGATATTCGCTGCTGTTTGCAGGCAAAATCAAAGCCGGTAAAATTCCACTAAGCACCACGAGCGAACATCCAACAAATGACCACAGCCATGCAGATAAAGGAACTTCGACTTTGGGTGGATTCAGAAGACGGGAGATTTCTGCAGCTTCACGTCGCAATTCTTCTTCAGCTCTGCAATTTTTTCAGCAGTTGTAGGCTTTATTATTGTCGAAAAATGATATTTCTACTCTTTCTATATTAGGCACTATTATGGAATGTTTTCTATTTGTTCTTCTGCTTCACTAATTCGCACAAAGCTATATATAATCCCATGTGTATCCAATCCAAAGTGCATGCCATTTACCACTGACAGAAATCAGAGCAAGAAGCGGTGAAACCGGTTATTGTCACAGTTCTGCAAATGTCAACAAAAACATTTGGACTGCAGCCATAAACTCTCTGAGCCAAACCGTAAATTGTAAAGAAGTTTTGCTGTAGTTTTTT